TAAGTAAGAATGTTTATCTGTTCAACGAAAAAAAAATTCACCTCATTGACAAAGTCTTTGTACGTAAGACAATCAGAGACATAGGCCCGTCCCAAGAGATTAGCAGAAGAAAAATCTATTTCTCGGTTGGAACAATTACCTTCAAAATAAAACATGTATTTCAGATTAATTGAAGTTGTGACAAAGTTTCAAACTACCCAGACGATATTTCTGCATAAAGTCTGCCACCTCCTCGCTTGTGACAGAGCATACAGTAGAACATATGAAAACTGGGCCCTTCAAATTGATGTCCTCAAACCATCGTATGTATCTTAAAAAACCTCAAAAAGAATGATTTTAAATACCTGTGGCGATCAATATCAGTAGCTCGAGAATAAAGTTTAAAAACTAGACAGATTTCTCTTATGTATATCACGACTGAGTTCCCGATGGAGAAAGAAGCACAGGAAGTAAAAGTTCTGAATTGGAGATAGTTGGATCTAAACTTACTTGACAATTCCATGTGAAACAAGCGATGCGCACGGCTGCGGAAGCGCTATAGTGTACCCACGCCTTTCCACCTCCAGCTTGCTTAGCTCCTCGTTCATCATGCACAACGCATCAACATCGGCAAATTCATTCGCATTTGATTGGAAACGATTTCCGCAACTCTGGTCATACTGCAATGTTTTAAAATTGTAGAGACGCCCACCTACAACAAAATGAACATTTTTTCTATTGGTTGAACAGAATTGAAAATTTCCCGTCATTACAAAGAGTTCAGAGAACTATGTTCAAAATTTAAGAAAAAAAAATACATGTATATTCATCTATCAATTACCTAATCAATAATTCATTACCTTAGGAACAAATCCTTTCGGAACCCAATGCGCGTCAACAGCTGAATTGATTGCAGCATCAGCAGCTCGTCTTCTCTCTTCCGACTTGTCGATGATGGATTCTATAACCGGATCGTAGTTTTCAGTTCCCATGACCCTAGTCTAAAGCGACGATTTTAGTTTTGATGCTCTAAACACTCAAGAAAAACTACCACTAACAAACCCCTTCAGTAACGGACATATCAGGATTGATATTGACTACTACGTTCCTTCGCCTTTTTTCCCTTATTTGTTGCAATTCCATTCGACGCTGTTTGATCGCCTGACGCTCCT